GACACCCTAGGGTCAGCTCTGGTGTCCAGTAGGGTGACCCTGAATGTAGTTCTTATGAAAGATGTCCCTTTGGAAGTAAGTACCATATTGTTTGTGAAAGTGTGCTATTCCTTTAAGAGCAGAGCAGCCTGGAAAATATTTCTAAAGATGTAAAGTAAAAGCTATCAGGAGGCAAGCAGTTTGGCACTTCTTCCAATGAAGAAAAAGCTTGCTGGTACCACAGTGAGTCTGAAGGTATTGCTTTGTAATAGACCCAGTTCAGATGCGTGGGGTTGCGCTTGCTTTGCTTTTTTATTCTACACGATTTTCTTTTGTTGCTGATGAATGGGAATTTGACTTTGTGGCTCTCTGGTCACAAGGAGTCTTAGCCCCTGAGTTCCAAGTGATTATGCATGTGTATGTCAGGATGAAAGAGTTTTTCAAATACGTAAAAAAAACCCAACTGTCTGATGCACAAAGTGTGTGTAACTGGAAAGTAAACTTCCTTTCAGTAGGCTGCCCAGGAATCACCCCTGTGATTGAGAGAGGAATTAGGTTTCTGTCTCTGCCCTCAGTAAGAAGACTGAGGCCTAGATCCAATACAGGATCAGGGCACTTGACTGCTAGAACTGAATCCAGAGCCCAGGGCCAAGAACTGTGGCTTCCCTATATAGTGCACAGGGAAAAGAGGTGCCCCAGAATGATGATGATACTCATGTACAGCATGGGGAGATGCCTAGAGGCAGGCAATAATAAATGCTAAGAACAGGGATGTGTCTGAACTCAGCGTGCCAGGCAAAAACTGTGCTAATACATTACTGCGCAGTAATATTAGGCTACTGTACAGTAAATGTCACTAAAACCCCATGTGCTGACACTGCTGTGCAGTAGCGTACGTTACTGCACACTGATTTAGTACTTGGCGAACCAGTATTACAGCACATTAATGTGTAGTAACTATGGCACATTAATGAACATGTTATAGATGGAGCAGTTATAGACATGTGCAGACACACTCTAGCGTCTTTAAAAGGAAACGGACCTAAAGGCACCTGCAAGTCTGGGAAGTTTTTTAAACTGGTTTTGGGCTTATGCATCTCAGGTAAATCCTGATATAGGTGCCCCTACTTTTTATTGACCTGGTGTCAAATTTTAATTATTATGGTGCATTATATAGTACTTTTTGTGATGTGGACTTCTGTGAGCTAAATTCAGCAAAGATTTCTATATATATCATGAAACAACCATCAGGGGTTGCTAGCTGCAATGTTTGGATCTGAATTGGCAATCTGGATGAAAGACTCCACAGCCCTTTAAGGAAGGCCTGCCACAAATCAGCCCTGCATCCTCCCCAAGTGCCACTTTGATTCCTTTCCCTTACCAGATCTACTGCTCAGCACTCTGCCTCCTGACTGGGGCTCCCTGACCAAGCTACTGCTCTGCTTTTTGCTTCCTGCCCTGTGCTTCCTGCCAGATCTGATGCTCTGCTTTCTACTCCCTGTCCTATCTGCTACTGTGCTTCCTGTCACCTCCTCTATCTGCAGACTGGCCACCACTGCCATAGCCTATTACTAAACTTGAAGCGCTCTCACGATACTCTTCTTTATTTAAGACAGTGCAGCTTCCTCCATAAAATACTTTAATACATGTTACAGCTAATAAGAGTTAAACAGACAGTCAACTGAAACATCTACTTATTGTATAATGATTTCCAAAGTCTTTGGCGTAGAAATCTTTTTATCACCTGTTCAGTGCTAGTGTGATTACCAGGTAGATGACTTGGTTAAGAAGATGGGCAGGGGGAAAGGTAATCGAACCAAGAACCTTCAGAGCAAAACAAAAAGTAGGGAGGGTAGTCACTCCTTCTGCTTGAGGGAAAGAGCCAAGGCTTGGGGTAGAAGAGGGGAAAAAGGACAACTGTAATTAAGAGCTCCAGTCTTCCGTGGATCAAGCATGCAGACAGACTTATGACAATCCACATACTCGCCAGTGGATTACACTAGTATAGTGGTTCTCAACTGGGCACTGCAAGACCCACCCTCGGGGATGCCACGATGCAGGTGCTGCCATCGTGGAGAACAACAATTCATGGCTGCATTTTAGGTGATGCTGCTATGAATCTGACAGTAGGCAAGAGATAAGAAAATGGAGGATGAGAGTAACTTGTCTCTAAGGAAGAGAATTGAGGATACTGTAGTCCTGGAAAATGTCATTCCACACTGGCTCCTAGAAGGACATCTTTGTTCAAATTAATTCTGCTGCACACCAGCTACAAACTGGGGTGGGGGGGGGAACACTATCTGATATTTCTGTTGAAACCAACATTGTGGAAGAAACTTTCAATTGCTGAACTTGTTTCATTTCCAGAAGGTTTCATTTGATTTAGGATGGATGAAATCCAAAATGCTACATTTTCTCAAGAGACTGTCTGGAGGCAGAATATTCACTGCCAAATACACACAGGGGTGATCTGGTCTGTTTTACAAAAAGTCTAGATAGTCTCCAGGGAGAGTAGCTGAATACAGGTAACTGTCTCAAGGGGGAGAGAGAAAAACAATGCCTATGGAAAGCTCATATGCACACTGCAGTTGTCCAGCAATACTAAGCACTGTTTTTTGTGTGAATCTGCACACACATTTTGACAGCCCTAAAAACACTGTAAATCACTGCTAGAGCCCTAGAAAAAACTTTACTTACCCTGCTTCCATTTAAAATGATATGTAACCATTTTTAGCAATCTGTCTTTAGCATTCTTACAGCAAAATGGCTCCTACACTCAAACTGTTCTGGTTGTTGCCTTGCCTTGTGCCTGGTTGCTGTCACCATCTCACTATTAAAAACTGAATGATAAGGATGCAAAGTCAAATACTAAAAATATGGAAATGCCAGAACTTAGGTTGCACACACATAGTTTGATCTCCTTCTCCCATATGCATTATGCTATTACACAATGACATATACTTTCCACACAACCCTTGCCTCATTAAGTGCAGAGGACAGCCACCTCCCAGGCCATTGAGTCCAATCCCCTGCGTCCTAAAAACCATCCACTCCAAGCTCACTACAAAGCACAAAACCAGAAACACCAATAACACTTCCCACCCTGCTACTCCTCATGGAAGGAGAAACGAGGGCAATGCCCTACCAATGCAGTGGGAAGAAGTAACTGAACTGGTAGTTGTTAAAAATCAGCTCCAGGTCTGTCTGTCTTCAGAATACCCACATTGTGCACTGAATGCAGAAGTCTTAATTACCGTATTTTTGCGCATATAGCTCACGGGCTATACATGTTTTTACAAACTTGATGGGTGGGTGCAGGCTGTAGAAGGGTGCGGGCTATGAAGAGTCTTTAGAACAGCATAGCCCGTCTCTGCCCGTCCCCGGCTGCGGGCTCCAGCTCCGGCTCTGGTGGCCATGCCCAGCAGAGTACAGCTGGCGGTGGGGAGCGGGGCTCTGCAGGGAAGGGGAGGGATGAGGAGCTGTGAGCTGTGAGCCCCGCTCCCTGCCACTGCCAGCCACACTCTGCTGGGCACGGTCGCCAGAGCTGGAGCTGGAGCCTGCGGCTGGGGATGGGCTTGCAGGCTCTGCAGGGGAGGGGAGGGGAGGGATGAGGAGCTGCAAGCTGCGGGCTTCAGCTCCGGCGGCCGAGCCCAGCAGAGTGCGGCTGGCGGTGGGGAGAAGGGCTCGCAGCTCCTCATTCCTCCCCTCTCCTCCCCTGCAAAGCCCACAAGCCCAGAAGAGCCGGTGCTTGTGGCCATGTCTCAGGGTGCAAAGGCCAAAAATGTCAGAATTGTCTTTTGCTAAACATCTTGGGTGATGTGCAACTTTTAGCACTGTTTTCTGCATGTTGGTCCTGTCGATTTTTCTTGTGCTTCATATTTTGCAAAATGTGCTGCAGTTTTCTCAAGATGAGTATTCAGAAAAT